TCCGTCAAACGAGGGCATTGCAATTCAACAGTGTCGTCAAACTTGCGGCGTTTGTTTGCCGCAGAAGCATTCAGCAACAATTCTCTATCCTTGTTCGGAGCAGGCATTTGAGAGGAGAGAATACGAATGGTTTCGTGGTAGACTCTCGGAAGAGCACGCAGTTGCGGGAAGCGGATCTGAGAACTGCCATGTGGTCTGTAATAAGAACAGAAAACGCAGGAAACGGTGAAAATAACTTCACAACACCGTCCACTTAATCAAAGAGCAGAGATTCTCAAATATGGGACTCCGCGGAAATAGAAAATGAAATGGAAAAAAAGGACACGAGAATTAAGTGAGGAGCATGCATGAAAAGAGAGATAATAAGCTCATAAAAAATTCGGACCCACAGAAAAATAGGCAAGGACACTCCTATACCCTTAAGTAAAGTAGCCTAAAAAATTGTTTTCAAGGGCATAATTATTAATAAAGGCATATTTATAATTTGTTTCAAATAAACTTATTCAAAACAAGGGCTCTACGAGTCAAAGGGGTACAGAAACGTTGCTACACGCAAGTCAGTTTTATCAGTGCGTCTCACATCTCGAGTAAAACGTACGCAGAAAAAGAGAAGATTTTAGAAATTGTTTGAAGCTTTGAACTTTCAAATACCTGATCATAAAAAATTTGCGATCAATGTTTGTTTATACGAATGACTCGTGGAACACAATCAACCCTTGAATTTCACTTTCGCAACTCTCATGTAAATAAGGGGAGGACCCAGAATAGTTCGCAATTCTGACTTTCATCGACATCTAAATGCACTTCATCAATATATAATTTTATTGGACACTACAGAAAAACTTGTCGCAGAGATTAAGACTGTTACCGCAATTCTCAATACAGTACAGTACTGTACACCATACACCAGGTGGCCCAAAAGAAGTACAAATTCTCAATTTTCCAACTATTTCTGAACAGCTAAAAAAATTAAATGAAACTTTATCCAATTTTCCGAACTGAGTATC